TTCTAGAAAAAAATTGGAAGGAATTGGGCTGGAAAGTCCTGCCTCATCCGCCACACAGATCAGACCTGGCACCATCGATTACCATCTGTTCCGGTCGATGCAGAACTCCCTGGCCGAGAGAAAATTCACAAACCGCGAAAAAGGTCCAACTCTGGGTGTCCAACTTCTTTGAGTCGCAGCCGGTCGAGTTCTTCAGAAGAGGAATCCATTTTTTGCATAAATGTTGACAACAAGTCATTGATACTAATGGAGATTGTCTTTTGAATTTATCTTGTTTAATTTCGTTTTTATAATAAAAAATTTTTTAAGCTCGAACGCGCATTCCTTTCCGGACAACCTAATAGATAGCTGTGTAATGACTTGAGGGCCTTCAAGCATTTTGAATTGTTTTCTATTAGGCAAATTGGGACAGTAAAGACCGCTGTGTTTCTCGACCCTGCACCGCTGCCTACTTTGGAAATATGGATGAAGCAGCATGCATCTAAAGGCTGCGAGATTGCAGCTGATGTCGGTTTACTGGGTCCTTATCTATACTGCACGTCACAACCAACCCCTACTAGTTTTTTTTTCCAAACGAGCGCCATTGTAGTGTTGACAGCGTGCCGCAGTAACGAAGAGTAGCTTTTCGGCTATTTTTCTGCGATCCTTGAGTTACACCTCCTGCGCCAACAATACTTCGACGAGCGCTAAACGTTAGCATTCTACTGGACGTACTTCCTACGCATATCGTATAGAAGGAGTCGAGAACTACTGTACTTTCTTCAGTGTATTCAACCCTGTTCTAGGAACAAGCGCTCGAGTGAGGGAGACCCAGCGGTAGAGAAGACTCCGTCCATACGATCAGCGTGATATGTGCCTATAACCGAAAACTTACACTCGTTGAATGTGTCACCAGATTCATCACGGAGAGGAATCTTGAAACGATTTCCAAATATTATGGGTTCCGCTAGCTTGCTAAATCGCCCCGGATGGACTAGAAGAGCACGTCAAAAAAGTTTATTGTCAGTTGCTGACTTTGCATCCGAAAAGGTTCTTCCCCGAACGAAATTTTGCCCCTCCTTTGGAAAAGAAACGCCTCGATTATTCAAACTCGGTACCTTTACACCCTTCGGAAAAAAACCCTACGCTACAGCCCGGGGATTGTACAGCCCTCATCATTGCGGACTGTCGGAGGGCGGCTGTGCAACGCGGTCCAAATGGGCGTTCGGCCTCGTTGCTCTACCAATGGCGATCGGGTAAAGATCGATTTAGGGAGGGAGCAACCAATGATGGAAACGCCGCAGGTGCGAGCCGCTGATTGCGACCCGACAATTGCGGTGATGTAAAGTGTAGTTTGCTAGTACCAAGAGAACTTGGTCGATTATTCTGTGCGGAAAGGTTATGTAATAAAACGGAGTTGTACAATGACTGCCCATCCCAAGCCATTGTATAGGACAAACGTTGTATGGCAGTATTACTGAAGGGAAGGATAGTATGTGTGAGGTGGAGTGAAGTGCTCAAAGGGGCATAAAATGCTTCAGTTTTGTTTTCTATTCTTCGCATCATTTTCACTGTAGTTATAGTCTGATCCGCTGCGAATGAAGGGGCGTGCCAGGCGGGATGGTTTTGGTGCGGCGCCAAACCCGTTACGTTCTCCACCAGTTTTGGAAGCGAGCAAGCGGAATACTGTAGCACATTGTTCCTATCAGTCATTTTCCACCAATTTTGTTAATTAGCCGCTTCAACGACTGATGGAGAACGAGTATAGCCTGCCGCCAAACCGATCCCGCTTGATGTGCCCCTTTACCCGCGGTAAACAAGACCATATAGACCTGATCCCATTTTACAGATGTCACCTGTTACGGATATACAGCTTGGGATCCAGTTGAAAAAGCAGTGATTATTTCATTTCTTGGCACTGCCACTGGCTTTCAAATGACCGATGAAATACTAAGCTCGTTCATTGTGAATCCTTCTAGGCTTTCTTTGGTTTATTTACTCTTGAAACTTATATCCAACTGATTTTCACAAGTTCAGGCATAAAGTGGCCTTCTTCGACAACGGTACCTTTTCAAATACTTCCATGATGCATTTTTCTTCCTATGGAATGGAGGACTCGAGCAACAAGTGCGCACACTCAAATACCAGTATCCCGACTATAAAGTCTACGTAAGTTGAACAGACGTGTTTCTTGTAAATTCCATGTTCGCCTTTCTTGTAACCTGGGCATTTTGAACTTATGTGATCGATAACTTCTTTCTTAGGCCGGACAGGTTCGTATGGTGGAATCTTTATTACGCCTGACGTTTCGACAATCTCGTCGTTTAGTAGTAGTTTTAGTTGCAACCTGACAAGGAACTGACAACGAAAGGAAATTGCACGTAGGCTTTGGTGGAACTGACGAGGTAACCTACTGTTGGAATTCCTTTCGCTGTAGTTTCTTGGTCACTGTTGCAACTATCAAGGCGGGACCACGTTAAACAGGATAGGTCGTATTTCGCGACTTTCAGTGTGCTTTCAGGCCTTTGTAACCGATGAGATTGTCGAAAGGTCAGGCGTAACAAAGATTTTTCTTGTGGTTATCGTCGTCCACTATTTAATCGCTTGAATGTGAAGAGAGAATTCAGTCAATTCTAGTGGCGACAAGACTCCATGCCAAGTGGCAGTGATGTTCTAATCCCTATAAACTATTAAGTTCGCATAAGTTCTTATACACGGACTTTGCTACTAAGAAGGAATTTGCGAAAAAAGCTTGTGAAAGAGTCCAGCCGACTGGCCTCCAAACCTGGCCACAAAGATCCTCCTATTCCAGTGAAAGCAAGCAAGATGCAAGCTGGCAGACGCCAGTGACTCAATTAACGGCCGAACCTTTGAAAGCACAATTCTGGCTGACTTTGAAAGGAAGCAGTCCACAAGTATTCTTCCCTGTAGAGAAATTGGAGCCTATAGAATATATATATAAATTCCCTAGGTGTAATCCGAGTGATAGCCGACCACGTGAGAAAATACCGGGCCCCGAATAGCATGGCGTCTGTTTCAAATCAGCGGCCGACCGTCCAAGCTTTCAGCAGCGCTTTAACATGCTCATCCTATTCGCCAATAAGAATGACTATCGCCGCCCATTACACACGGCCCTACTTTTCCTCCACCCGCTCCGCGTGCTCCAGCGAGTGGACTGGTATTGCTGAACAAGGTGGGATTCAGGGGATAGTCTGGACAGGTAGGATATGTACATTCAGATTGCTCGAAATGGCAGAAAATCCGCAATGGAAGAGCCTAGTATGCGGTGTGTGAAGTTAATGGGTCTCCAGGCAGTACTGTACGAACGCGCTTTCGCGCTACTTAAAAGTGTAAAGCGTGACCGGGGATGCAGGCGTACCGACACTCACAGCAATGGCCAAGCTACTGCCTGACATGGCCGCAACGCGCTACCTGGTCTGCGACGATACTTCTGGTTGATTCTCTAAACGGTGAGTGTGTCTGTTCGTGCTGCGGGACGTTGGTGTCCAACGAAGTGGGGCACCCAGGATAGCGTAGGAGGAGTGTGAAGACGGCACCTGGGCATCCTACTCTCCAATCCCCTTCCCCTGCACTTTTGAGCAGAGGAAAAACAAGCTTCTGTATATGCGGACCGCACATGGTCGGGGCCGTTCTCGGCGGTGACCGTACGATTTGTCTTTGAGCAGGGAGCAGGGCACATCATTAGTTGGGGATTTTGGTCGATCCCTGCGATCACCCCCCCCCCTTTTTTTCTAGTGTTGGTACGACCCTCTCCATTTCATCATCTCTAACCTATTCTCCTGAGATTTGGACAGCAACCTCTCTTAGAAATATAAAGTGAAGGAAAACGATCCGAGGTAGAAAGGGAATACGACTTTTCCCTACCTGCCACGAACGAGCAATGGACCTTCGACCTATCATCGAACCCTCTCTGCTGGGAATTCCCGACAAGCCATGCAGGGAGTCAGAAATGTGCACACAGAGGGCTTGATACACCCCGCGATAAGATGTGATGCGAATGTTTTTCCGCAGATCCAAGTGACGATCCACTTCCTTGCGACTCAATACGACCCCTAACCTTTTTCATACTAGCGATGTTGTACACTGAGCTCAAGAGTGTTGGACCTGCTATAATTATTGATATTTCAGGTGACGGGCCACTCACTTGGAGCATCCATCGCTTCAATAACGGCTGCTTACCTCGTTAAATGGAATATGTGGACGCCAGAGAAACGTTCGTTTAGTCACATTTGGGCAGCCACGAACCGGTGATTACGACTTCGCGACTTGGCATGACGCTACGGTAGGCATCGCCTCCATTCTACCTTGACGAGACCGAAAACTGCTCTTTTCAGTTCCCATACGCGTATCGTGTCGTTCACCACCGTGACCCTGTACCTCATATTCCGCCAAGGCTTGGGCCTGACAGAGTGTTCCATCACCGATATGAAGTTTGGTAGGTGCCAAAAAAATAATTTGCTCAAAAACGTTCCATGTCCCAGAATTTGGTTGCCAAGTCAGCCGTATCTGATCGTTTTCAGGTATAACAACAACATGGCAGTTGGACAACCGTATACGGTCTGTCAAGAAGCCGATGGTGATTATTGCAGTAATACGGTAATAAGCGCCGAAACCTGGGAACACATGTGGTATTTCGATAGAAATATTGGTGAATGGGGTCAGAAAGGATGCCCATCATAAAAAGATGCCTTTTCTTGCCTATAGACTCAATAAATATAATAGAACTCTTACAAATTCTTGTGCGAACATGAACGTTGCCAAGATTTGCACTATAGAAAATTCTATATTATATTGTTATGAAGTGCTGTCTTCGCTACAGCCCCCCTCACCTCCAAAAGTCGTTACAGAAGCGCTCAATTGTGACTAAAAGGACTTCACTTCAGATGGGACTCGTACTACACCTTAGGTTTACCACTTATTGTACGGGAGAGGGACAAGACAATCGTAGTTTGCCGCGCCGTCGTGCGCGACGCTCCGTGCAGCGATGTGCGGCAATTTTCGATGGGCATCAGCTTGCCCGTTGTAGCCGCAAAACTCGTGTGCGTTCCACTGGACAAGACTCCATATCGAATGATATAGATCTTTCGGTCTCTTTGACACTTATCTTCAAAGAGCCAGGCAAGATAACTCGTCCCGCAGGCGCGGCATCGCTCGCCACGCCCACCAGCGCGGCACATTACAGCTGCCATGTTACACATCCTTAATATACCAACAATTACACCAGCTCCCCTATGGTAATCAATTTTGCAACGATAAAAAACGCTACAAGGACGTACCAGATGCAGTTCGCAGTTATTGGCAAGAAGTCGTCAACCGCCAGCAGCAATCCAACAACTCATCATCAAGGATACGTTCTATCATAAAGAAGTGGGTAACGAGACTCAAATTTACTGATGTACGCCCCTCTCCTCCTCAATTGCAATGTGCATATCCTTGACAGAGCAGCACTATTGGAACGCTCAGCAACCCTGTCGATGTGGTTGCTTAGATAACTGGATATGGTTTAGGATGACTTATCCAGATAATGTTTCGATATGAGACGACTGCCACCTTTTCCTGTGGTCGACAAAGTCTGTGGTTGTCGTCCAGCGTGCTTGTATAACTGGCTAAATGGAAATAATGTAGCCAACCCAATGTTCCCGAAAATGTGCAGTGTATTCTAGTTCGCTGCGGATGAAGGGGAGTCTCAGGAAGTATGAATGTGCAACGGCGTCAAACCTGATCCCTATTAGCTTGAAGAGGATATACGATATTATACTATGGTAGAGTACAAGTGATACGAACGATATGATACAATCTAGTCACTTGTTCGCTTCAACAGTTGTCCCAACCGATTTGGCACCACGCCAAACTCATCTCGCCTGAAATTGCGGAGAACACAGAAGTTCAAAACAAGGAACAACAGGAGAATTCTCTACTCTGGTGAAAGCTTCCTTAGAAGGAAGTTCAAAAAGGGATATCAAAGTACTGCTTGGAAAAAACAGTGATTAGTTTCAACAGAGGGATATAGATATCGGTAGAAGATTTCTGTTATGCGATTCTCCTTTTCTAAAGTGTGGTAAAGTATGAAAGGATGAAAGAATCAGCCGCTCTACAACCGGTACAGCGGACTTCGCGATCGCGAAGTCTGCACGCTGTCTAAGAACGTCTACTGCGGCGTAATTCTCTTCGAGGATGAGCGACGATGGATATGATCCGTTAAGAAAAATGCAGGACTGCATAAGCATATTGTGCCAACTCAGTGGAGCTTCCCATTACTACGTTCTCTTCCGCTCTTAGAAGACCATCAAAAATCTCCATAGAGAGCAAAGGCAAAGTTATTTCAAGAACATGTCAGAATTGTGTAAGATGAAAAATGGCATAGCCGAAAATAATTACTCTTTGAGATTCTGCCACAAGTCCGATCAAAACTAGGGAGGAACTAAGTTGGTACCGATGCATTAGCTCGGGAGCGTAGGAAGCTTTCTTAGAAAGTAGGGTTTTCAAGAGAGATTTTTGGCAGTTCGAATCCTTCACACCCTCAAATAAGGCCTGGGTCATTTATGAGAATATATCGCTAAGCATACACACTGTGTATCGTAATCATGCACGTAAACACACGTACACTTACCTAGGTTGATTGTCATTCGACAGCAAACACTGTTCAGCTAATCGACTTGGGTTCTGGGGCGAATCTTAATGGAACGTGTGTTATCTGTTGGTAGTGTTGCTGGCACTATGCAATCAATCGCTCTTGCCATGCAAGGAGCGGTCGCGGCGGTAGGCTCGTCTGATTCGACTGTGCCCCAATGCAACGGGCCGCTTTCAAATTTTGCTGTCAGTCTGAACGCTTCCAAACTTGTCCCGTTTCAAAGCTGCATTTTTGCGACTTACTCGACTGTATGCTCTATCTTTATTGTGTTGCGAAAGCCGAATTCAGACAAGGCAAGCGTTCATTCTTTTCGCGCGGCGATCGCGGCGATCCCCGCGATCGTCGTGCATGGCAGCGCGCGCCCCAACGTTATGGACCGCTCGCCCGATGAATAAGGGAATCCAATTTGTAAGACCTTCTTTACTCTTAATAAGGTTTACTAACAGATAAGCTACGGCTTTCTATCCATAAGCAGATCCAGTATATGAGGTAAGAAGGTTTGGCGCACTATTTACCTTTACTGCCAGTCATCCGAATCGCCGGTTTCTGACCGACTTTTTTCTCCTTGGGCGAATTCGTGAGAAAAGTTGGTTCCAGGGGTGTAGTAAGCGCTGAACAGCATATCGCATTCGGCTTGACTGAAACTTACTGGCGCCGCAGCACCGGACGCCGGCGCAAATACTCTGATCCTAAGTAGATGAAGTATTTTCAGAGCAATGGATAGCTAAATGCAGAAGCGAAGGGTGCTTCCCAATGTGGTTAGGTCTTTTGAAGACGTCACTCGAGAAACACTCATCTCAACCGATTCCGTGAAACTTCCCATTTCCACGAGCTTGCGTGTGAAAGCTGGGCGAGCGCGGGATTTTCGAAGAAGCGTTGGTCATGCATTTTTTCATGCAATATGGAAGTGGTATTCGTGTATCAGCGGTCGAACTACCCTGGTAGCAAGTTTTTCAGCTGAATTTTTGCGGTGATTTCGATATTTTTGGCGCCGGCTGCGTGGCGCGAGGCGCAGATGAGGTTTTCGTCAAGCGGGATGCGGATATTCGTGTCGCGGGTCGACCCCATGGAGGCAACTTTCAGGGAGTCTGCCACGGAGAAAAAGTGTGGAAACCGGCCTGATTTCGGTATGGCCTGGGCCAAGTAAAGGAGTAAATAGTGCCGAAGGTTTTACTTCGTCGGGATAAGGCCAACTTCATTTCTTTGTGAGCTTCTTTTTGTCTCTTTTGCTTTTTTTTTCAATTTATACAAGCGCCTTGAAAGTTCCTATCGTCGGAACTGTTCCAACTTCCAAAACATTTATAGTTTACAAGTCGAGTTCAAACAACGAAGAAAAAAAAAGAAAGAAACTCACCTAGGAACCAAAACACTAATCATTTTACGCAACATCAACAGGTGAAAACTTTATAACCTCATGTATAAGCTCGACGAAAAAAGAAACAATAAAAAATTACCCTAAATGAAGCTCTCACGCTTTTTGCTCATTTCTATCCTGAATCAAGAAAGAAAATAGAAAACAAAAGCCATTAAGTTGGGTTCACCTTTCCTTGTGTCAAACCAAGCTTCAGTACCTAAGGAAATTGCAGTTAAAGAAAAAAAAGCATGAAATTGAGCCGCTTACCCCCAAAAGCCTTCGGAGCGCAAGTAATAGCGTTGGGGCGCGCTCTGCCATGTACCGACGATCGCGGCGATCGCCGAGGTCGCCGCGATCGCCGCTGCTGTCGCGAAGTATGAACGCTGCCTAAGAGGGTGATATGATTGCCAATTGACTACATGTCAAAGTCGTGAGTTGCCTATGCTGCAACCCACTAGCATTGAATTGATGGTAGAAAATTCTTTCGTCGAATGTGTTAATGATGAAAGTTGTGTGCAAGACGTGGTTTGAGAAGACTATGCTCAGAAACGGAACTGCACCAAAGCTGGTGAGTCGCCAGGATCTTACTATTAAACGCTTTTTGTTTCCTCCGATCAAAATGGATTTCAAGAATCCATTGCCGGAAGAATTTCGTTCCGCTGGGAAAGCAAAGATCAAGTTCTACCCGTGGTGATCTGGGATCCTATTATACAGTTTCGTTCTTTACCATTGATTCCACCATTAAGCGCTTCTTTCGAAACTACTCTTTGAAAAAAAAGAGTAGTCAAGAGAATGCAGTGAAGTATTTGGTCATCAGTCATTATATGCTTGTATGTTGGAAGGTGCTACAGTCGAGCGTACGATCCCAAAACTGATGCAAACCTTTTTTGACAGAAGACGATGCCGTTCGCAATATTGCTCTGAACAAACAAGGAACTGGATGATTAGGTTCCCAAGGCAGCGTTCAGGAGCAAAACGTAGCAGCATCCATTCAGTTTTAGTTTCAGA